GGTGATAATGTGTTGGTGTTAGGGTGATAATGTGTCAGTGTGTCAGTGTCAGGGTGATAATGTGTCAGTGTGTCAGTGTCAAGGTGATAATGTGTCAGTGTGTCTGTGTCAGGGTGATAATGTGTTGGTGTTAGGGTGATAATGTGTCAGTGTGTCAGTGTCAGGGTGATAATGTGTCAGTGTGTCAGTGTCAGGGTGATAATGTGTCGATGTGTCAGTGTCAGGGGGTTAATGTGTCAGGGTGATAATGTGTCCAGTGTGTCAGTGTCAGGGGGGGTTAATGTGTCAGTCTGTGTGTGTCAGGGTGATGTGTGTCCTGTCAGGGGTGATAATGTGTCAGTGTGGGGATGATAATGTGTCAGTGTGTGGGAGTGTCAGGGTGATAATGTGTGTCGTGTCCAGAGGTGATAGTGTGTCAGTGTCAGGGTGATAATGTGTCAGTGCGTCTGTGTCAGTGTGTCTGTGTTAGGGTGATAATGTGTCAGTGTGTTTGTGTCAGGGTGATAATGTGTCTGTGTGTCTGTGTCAGGGTGATAATGTGTCAGTGTGTCAGTGTCAGGGTGATAATGTGTCAGTGTCAGGGTGATAATGTGCCAGTGTCTCAGGGTGATAATATGTCAGTGTGTCTGTGTCACGGTGATAGTTTGTCAGTGTGTCAGTGTTAGGGTGATAATGTGTCAGTGTCTCAGGGTGATAATGTGTCAGTGTGTCTGTGTTAGGGTGATAATGTGTCAGTGTGTCTGTGTTAGGGTGATAATGTGTCATTGTGTCTGTGTCAGTGTGTCTGTGTCAGTGTGTCTGTGTCAGTGTGTCTGTGTCAGTGTGTCAGCTGACGGGAAACAAGAAGGAAAATGAAAAAAAAAATGTTTTGTCATCACTGATCCAAATAAAAACCAGAAAACACCTGTGAAAATAATCCAAGCACGGACGGATACACGGACGGACAGATACACGAACAGACAGACAGACAGACAGACGGAAAAGACAACAATTTAATGTCCCCTGTCACCTGAACTTACCTGTTAATTGTGAAAAAACAAATAACGAATAATTACTCCTGTATTCATTATCAGTATGACTTAATTAACTAACAAACAGAGATGTAAATTATTAAACTGATATTATTCATAGTTGTAGTTAGCTTTCGGGGGTAATTAGGTAGTTAGTAGTTAGCTTGATAGTTGTTAGCTCCGGGACGTGACTGTATTTAGGAGGTACAGTATTTAGCCGAGGTGTGTTGCCCAGTGACTCTTAAACCTTGGGGAGAGAGTTATGTCACGTGTAGTAGTGATCACTGTCTGGTGTTGTTAGTAGTAGTATGATGATGATGATGATGATGATGATGATGATGATGATGATGATGATGATGATGATAATAACAAATAATAATAATAGGAGCATTAACAAAGACAGCAGATAATAATAATAATAATAATAATAATAATAATAATAATAATAATAATAATAATAATAATAATAATAATAATAATAATAATAATAATAATAATAATAATAATAATAATAATAATAATAATAATAATAATAATAATAATAATAATAAATTCCACCTTAATGGCAATAAATGTGTGTGTGTGTGGCAACCGTACCGCAGACTAAAGTTGCCAGCGGTTTATTTATCGGGACCAAAACATACTGTACTCCCAAGCGTTCCCATCCGACACAATTTACAGCACAATAATAATTCCTGCTCTCTTTTTTCGGTACTAATTTGCCCCGTTCATAAATCCGGTGTATAAAACTGTTTGGTGGTTTTCGTAGGCTGGTTTAGTTTGTTGTTAATTCGTTTTAGTTTTATATTTTTTATGAAGTTAAGATGTTTAATATGGGAAAAAAGTGTTTTGTGATGTTGTAGAGGGGGTTTGTTGAATTACGTCTGTCTGTCTGTTAGTTGGAGAGGTGTGGATGTATGTGTGGTTGGTTCACTTTACACACATGATTATAAACAAACACACAAATACTCATACATATTCTACACACACACACACACACGTATGCGTCACCAGCCTGCTCAACTCTACCCAACAACGCCAGCTAGAGAAGGTACAGAAAAGGGCCTGCAGAATCATGCTCGGCGTAGACTACTCAGGCTACAACAACGGTCTCTCCATCCTGGAAGTGCCATCCCTCAGTGACCTCCACCACCAAGCACTAGCAAGGTTTGGCAGTGGACTACTGCACCATCCTCGTCATCGCCACCTATTGCCACCGGCAGTCCCCCACCCACCTAGCGCAGTCAGCCACTACAACAAAATTCAGCCCATAAGAGCCCGCACCGATAGATATAAGAATAGCACCATCCCATCTATTGTTAAAATAATAAACAACTCCTGATTTATGGACTGTACAGCCCTGTAAATGTATTCAACGCATATCATTATGTCTAAATCAAATGTAAGTCTGTATATTTTCAGCCACCGGCTGCAACTCTATCAATAAACCGTTTATTATTTTTATTATTATTACACCATTAACTCAGGTATGTTGCAAGCGTATCCAGTATTCTTTGCAATACGAAAAAAAATAATTACGTTATATCAAAACCACTTAAAAGGGGGAGCCTGGAGAGAATGCGTCCTGTGCTGGGGGTCACCTTGCTTGAGTCAGAAAAACGAACGAGGATGTGTGTTTTGTGTAGGGTTTGTACTGATAAGTTTACACGCTCATACATTCATGCGCGGATGAATACCCCCCCCCCCATCTCTTTCTCTCTGTCAAGAATCTTTTTGGGGTTTTCGCTCTCAGGAAGCAGCTACTTAAAAGTTCCCGCACCTCCTTACCAAATTTCAGGCCTCTATCTTGAAAACTGTAACATTGCATAAATGGGTGGGAAGTAGAGGATGGGGAGAAGGAGAGCATAGGATGGGGTAGGAAGAGCAAGGACCTCAGTTACCCATCTTCGACTGTTTCCATCCTGTAGGGGCGACGTCCTTGAGATGGTTTAATGTCCTACGGCATCACCTTGAGGAGTTTTTCTCACTCCTTCAACTGATGCAAACCTAACCTAACCTAACCTAACCTAATCTAACCTAACCAAACCTAACCTAACCTAGATAAATTATGATGATACATGGATGTCTGTGGATGTCTGTGGATGTCTATGGGTGTCTGGATGTCTATGGATGTCTGTGGATGTCTCTGGATGTCTATTACCCTTATAGAACACAGATTTCATACAGTATATATCAGACAGTCTTTAAAGTTCATTCCTGTTGTCTTATTATGGTCGTTGTAGAAAGTGTGTGTGTGAGTGTGTGTGTGAGTGTGTGTGTTTGTGTGTGTGTGTGTGTGTGTGTGTGTGTGTGTCGAGCATCTACCGCCTATTATGACTGCTTTACCACTAACCTCTGCTTGACCGCTGACTGTTCTGAATTATTTCTCAACTCTCACGCTAGCGTCTACTCCCTGCTCCGGCCACTCCCTGCTCCGGCCACTCCTTGCCCCGGACACTTCCTGCCTCGGCAACTCCCTGCCTCGGTCACTCACTGTCTACCCCGGCCACTTCTGTTTGTTACGAACACCAAGGAAGGGGGGAGGAGGAGGAGGGATGGAAGAGAGACAGAAGGAGGAGGAGGAAGAAGAACCCCACTATCGGCAGGAGGTAGGCCCAGGTGCGTGTTAGTTAGCGAGTAAACAATAATTTGAACGCTGATGTCGGGTTATTGTTGGATGTGAGTGATGTTGACACTCCTCATATTGTTGGTCCCTTGTTTACTGATGTACTGAAGGTCATATGTAGCTGAAGCACACACACACACACACACACACACACACACACACACACACACACACACACACACACACACACACACACACACACACACACACACACACACACACACACACACACACACACACACACACACACACACACACACACACACACACACTTTCTTTGCGTCTCTTACATTGTCTATTCTAATCCTATGCATGAATCAAAAGGTTTTATTTTACAATCTATTAAACTAAACCATAAGGAGCACCTGAAGAATCGTCTCCCCAGAATGTCCACCTGAAGAATTGTTACCCCGGGATATCCCACCTGAAGAAGTGTCACCCCAGCCTGCTCCACCTGAAGAATCGTCGCCCCAGCCCACAGTGAATTAGGATAACATAAATATATTCCTTTGTGTTATGCTTCTTTATTGTGATGCATATTACAAAGGGAACTGAACAGCAATGTGTTGACATAAACTTTCCAGAGGATTATCAGAAAAACGATCATGCCACATGAATTCTTGAAGGTAAGAATTTAAAAAGCTTCATTTGCAGCCACGCATGGTCTTGATGTAACTCTTGTTTTTGTTCCAATATGACTCAATCGTTTGTGTGTGTACACCAGTATTCACATCCACAAAATTGACTAAAAATTTTTTGAGCCCACTTACTATTATATAGTCCTCCTACCTGACTGCAGGGTCCTGACTCCACTAACCTGAAGGTTAACAACCGTGGAGGCTCCTGACCCCACCTGAAGAATTGTCGCCCTGCCGGACTCTGGGGCGACGATTCTTCAGGTGATCCAACCATAAAACTGTCCAACTTATTTCCCCGGGTTTTTTTACGTTTTTTTTATCAGTCAAACTCCAGTAATTATCTTAGTGTTTTATCAGTAAACAGCAAAAATATAAATAGGGTAGTTTTTCTTATCAATTAACCCATAAAATTTGCGAATGTAAAACAATTATTTATATGAGGAACATAATATTTAGTACACCTGCCTTATACACCTGACCCACTCCCTCTCAGGTAAACGTTCACCTGTCCTAGTCGATGTTGAGGTAAGAGTACTGAAGAAACAAACCTAATCTAACCCTATACCTAGTACATTAAAGGTACAATACACTAGCTATGATTATTACAGGTAACTTATAATCCCTCAGGTACAGTAATTTTTTTCAGACTTTTTTATTTATAGAAAAAAAAAGACTAATATCTAAACATTATTGGTGTCCCCAAGTGGCTATGAGGACACGACTCACCATACCAGCGTTAGTTTCTTTCCATCGATCCAGGTTGTGTAAAGGTGATCCGCTGTAGCACGTCTCGAGGCTGGGTTCTGGGTTAGCAAAGGCAGGGTTCGGATTCGCAAAGGCTGTCAGGGACGGTGTTGGGTTAGCAAAGGCGGGATTCGGATTCGCAAAGGCTGTCAGGGACGGTGTTGCTGTGTTCTCCCTTTCTTATGGCTAATGTAAACACGTATATATATGACTATTAAATCCTTTACACTCGATTGGACTTTGATTTAATCCTTTATGTGATTGAATTGTGGATTAATCCTTTGTGCTGTGTGTGTGTGTGTGTGTGTGTGTGTGTGTGTGTGTGTGTGTGTGTGTGTGTGTGCTTCAGCTATATGACCTTCAGTACATCAGTAAACAAGGGCCCAACAATATAAGGGTATCCAACATCCCTTCATCCAACAATAACCCGACATCAGCGTTCAGGTGTGTTTACTCGCTAACTAACACGCACCTGGGCCACACCTCCTGCCGATAGTGGGGTTCTTCTTCTTCCTCCTCCTCCTTCTGTCTCTCTTCCATCCTCCTCCTCCTCCCCCTTCCTTGGTGTTCATAACAAACAGAAGTGGCCAGGGGTGAACAGTGAGTGACCGAGGCAGGAGTTGCCGGGAGCAGGAGAATGGCCGGAGCAAGGAGTGGCCGGAGCAAGGGGAGTAGACGCTAGCGCGTGAGGTTGAGAAATAATTCAAGACAGTTAGCGGTCAAGCAGAGGTTAGTGGTGAAACAGTCATAATGGGCGGTAGTGCTCGACACACACACACACTTTCTACAACGACCATAATAAAAGACAGGAATGAGAACTTTAAAGACTGTCTGATATATACTGTATGAAATCTGTGTTCTATAGGGTAATAGACATCCAGAGACATCCACAGACATCCAGACATCCATAGACATCCACAGACATCCATAGACATCCAGACATCCATAGACATCCACAGACATCCATAGACATCCACAGACATCCATAGACATCCACAGACATCCATAGACATCCAGAGACATCCACAGACATCCAGACATCAAGAGACATCCACAGATATCCATAGATATCCACAGACATCCAGAAACATCCATGTATCATCATAATTTATCTAGGTTAGGTTAGATTTGGTTAGATTAGGTTAGGTTAGGCTAGGTTTGGTCAGGTTAGGTTAGGTTAGGTTAGGTTTGCATCAGTTGAAGGAGTGAGAAAAACTCTTCAAGGTGATGCCGTAGGACATTAAACCATCTCAAGGACGTCGCCCCTACAGGATGGAAACAGTCGAAGATGGGTAACTGAGGTCCTTGCTCATCCTACCCCATCCTATGCTCTCCTTCTCCCCATCCTCTACTTCCCACCCATTTTCTCCTCCCCACCGATTCTCACCTCCCCTTCCATTCTCTTCTCCTCCCCATCTTCTCCCCTCATCCTATCCTATCCTTCTCCCCATCCTCTCTCCTTCTCCCCCACCCATCCTCTCCTCCTCCCCACCTAACCATCCTCTCCTCCCCACCCAATTATCTTTTGTTTTCTCCTCTCCCTTCTCTTCATCCATTCTCTCTTCCTCCCTTCCCATATCCCATCTTTTCTTATCTCCATCTTCTCCTCTCTTTCTCTCTCTCATACTTTATTTACTTTCCTCACCTTTTAATTTCTTCTCCATTGTCTCTCTCCCCTTCCTTCCTATCCCCTCTATTCTCCTCCCTTCCTTCCTATATCCCATCCGCCTCCCTCCCTTCCTCCCTCACTCGTCTCAAAGGGCATCGTCTCTTCCTCCCGCGCCCACCACTCCTCCGCCCCTACTCCTCCCTAACCAAGGTAAACCACTTTTGGGCCTTCGTGGGGAGTAGGGGGGAGGTTAGGAGGGGATAGGAATGAGAATATTTTGTAATTAATTCCCCATAATCAGGTTGACGGGAGGTAATGTGTGGGGAGGAGGGAGGAGGGAGAGGTGAGTTACGCATTTACAACCTTTTGTATGGAATAGAAATATACAAAAACAACATAAGGTCGACTGGAGGACAGAGGTAGATGACAGGTGTAACAGGTAGATGACAGGTGTAACAGGTAGATGATAGGTGTAACAGGTAGATGACAGGTGTAACAGGTAGATGACAGGTGTAACAGGTAGATGACAGGTGTAACAGGTAGATGACAGGTGTAACAGGTAGATGACAGGTGTAACAGGTAGATGACAGGTGTAACAGGTAAGGGACAGCCAGACGCTACACTCATCCACCTGTACTCTACACCATCTGTCTCCTCCCTCACCAGAAGCCATCTGTAACCTGTATCACACCCCCAAGGCTGTCTAAAACACCCGTCCCACCCACAAGACAGCCTGACCACCCTACTGTCTACACCCGTCACCCAACCCATACACCTCCCAGTCTTTACCCAGGCCACTACACCATATGGCAGTACACAATGGGATATCAATTAGGACCCTGTTCTTGGCTTCAGTTTCTCTTGTCACGAGGCCTCTGCGTGTAAACAAAGGCTTCAGTATAAACAAAAGCCTCAGTGTGCAAACAAAGGCTTCAGCATAAACAAAGGCTTCAGTGTAAACAAAGGCCTCAGTGTAAACAAAGGCTTCAGTATAAACAAAGGCTTCAGTGTAAACAAAGGCTTCAGTGTAAACAAAGGCCTCAGTGTAAACAAAGGCTTCAGTGTTAACAAAGGCCTCAGTGTAAACAAAGGCTTCAGTGTAAACAAAGGCTTCAGTGTTAACAAAGGCTTCAGTGTAAACAAAGGCTTCAGTGTAAACAAAGGCTTCAGTGTTAACAAAGGCCTCAGTGTAAACAAAGGCTTCAGTGTAAACAAAGGCTTCAAGAGTGTAAATAAAATATCTGTGTTTCTTTCCCTTTTTTTATTCTCTTTTTTCCCTCTTTCCTGTCTCTGTTTCCTCTCTCTCCTCTCTCACACACACACACACACACACACACACACACACACACACACACACACACACACACACACACACCTTTACCAATGTATGTTACCTGACTCTAATCTAACCTAACCCACACAGGTAAACTCCCACTTCCCTCCCTAGTAACCTAACCTACCCTAACCAAACCTAACCAAACCTAACCTAACCTAACCTACCCTAACCTACCCTAACCTAACCTAACCTAACCCAACCTAACCTAACCAAAACCCTAGCAAACCTAACCTGCCTAACCTACCCTAACCAAACCTAACCAAACCTAACCTAACCTAACCTACCCTAACCTACCCTAACCTAACCTAACCTAACCCAACCTAACCTAACCAAACCTAACGTAACCTATAATTTCCTTATACACAGAGAGGTGAGACTTTCTGGTGTGAATATTCTCTTTCCTCTTTCTCTCTTTTCCCTTTCCTATTATCTCCTCCTCTTCTCCCTTGTTTATCAGTCTTTTATCTTCCTTTTTTCCCTTTATCTTACATCACCAACCACCCTCTTCTCCCTTCATCTACCACTGTTTATTCTCCTGTTCCATTTGTTTCCCTCTCTCCCCTTTTCACTTTCATCTGCTGTTGTTATGTCTCCTTCCGTCCTTTTCTTTTCCTTTATATTCTACTGTTATTTTGCCTCAATTCTCTCTCTCTCTCTCTCTCTCTCTCTCTCTCTCTCACTCTAATCTTATCATCCCTTAATTACTCCCTTCTCTTCTCCCCTTTCCCTTTATCTATAACTATTGTTCTCCCTTTCACAATCTCTCCACGATCAACTCGCGCCCCTCCATAGGTCCACTCACGCCCCCACGCCCCTCCATAGGTCCACCCACGCCCCCACGCCCCACCACTCTAGTCCACTCCCATTCCCACAAATTTGTGAGACATTAAAGGCGGCCTCTGTAATACACGCCATCGTCGACAACTGTTTTGTTCTCTCTCTCTCTCTCTCTCTCTATTGATCCATTTGTTATATACATCCTCCTTCTCTTTGTCTATCTGTCTGTGCCTTTCTCTTATAACACTTCCTGAAATCATCAATTCACCTTATGCATTTCTTAATTATTGTTTCCCTTTTCTTGTGTAATTTTATCAAGAATAACCACAAACTACTGCTACTGATAAGAGCAGAAAGTGTTGTATACAGGCCAACCGAGGCCGTTGAGAGAAGAATGGAAATAATCCCCAGAGAGAGAGAGAGAGAGAGAGAGAGCTGCTGGGATGGTATTAGACAACATCGATTTTATGTAAGGTATAACCCATAGATGGAATGGGAGGGTTGAGAGGCAATTGTTAGGGAGAGATTAGACGGAGGAAGCCTTTGAAAGATCTTTAAGTGGGATTAACCTAGGGTGAGGGGTGAGGGTGAGGAGAGTGAGACGGACGGTGAGGGCGTAGGTGAGGACGGAGGATGAGGCAGGGTGAGGACGGGGGTGAGGTGAGGAGAGTGAGGACGGGGGGTGAGGACGGGGTGAGGACGGAGGGTGAGGGCGGAGGTGAGGACGGACGGTGAGGCGGAGGTGAGGACGGACGGTGAGGGCGGGTGAGGGCAGGGGTGAGGGACGGGGTGAGGGGCAGGGGTGAGGACGGAGGTGAGGACGGAGGGTGAGGACGGAGGATGAGGGCAGGGTGAGGGACAGGGGGTGAGGGCAGGGGGTGGGGACGGAGGGTGAGGACGGAGGGTGAGGGACGGAGGGTGTGGGACGGAGGTGAGGGGTGGGGGGTGAGGGACAGGGGGTGAGGGACGGGATGAGGGACGGGGGTGAGGGACGGAGGGTGAGGGACGGAGGACGGAGGTGAGGGCAGGGGTGAGGACGGGGGTGAGGACGGGGGTGAGGAGAACGGAGGGTGTGGAACGGAGGTGAGGGTGGGGGGTGAGGACGGGGGTGAGGACGGAGGATGAGGGGGCGGGGTGAGGGACGGGGTGTGAGGGCGGGGTGGGGACGGAGGGTGAGGGACGGAGGGTGAGGATGGGTGAGGGACGGAGAGTGAGGGACGGAGGATGAGGGCAGGGGTGAGGACAGGGGGTGAGGGGCGGGGTGAGGGACGGAGGGTGAGGGGCGGAGGTGAGTGACGGAGGTGAGGACGGAGGTGAGGAACGGAGGTGAGGGACGGGGTGAGGGGCGGGGTGAGGGACGGAGGTGAGGGACGGAGGATGAGGGGCAGGGTGAGGGACAGGGGTGAGGGACGGAGGATGAGGGACGGGGGGTGGGACGGAGGGTGAGGAACGGAGGTGAGGACGGGGGTGAGGGGCAGGGGAGTAGGGGGTGGGGTGGGGACGGAGGATGAGGGGGTGGAAGTGGAGGGTGAGGGACGGAGGATGAGGGGCGGGGGTGAGGGACGGAGGATGAGAGGAGGCGGGGGTGGGGACGGGGTGGGGGCGGGGTGAGGGCGGGGGGTGAGGGCAGGGGGTGAGGTGAGGACGGAGGTGAAGGACGGGTGAGGGGCGGTGAGGACGGAGGATGAGGGGCGGGGTGAGGACGGAGGTGAGGGGCGGGGTGAGGACGGAGGGTGAGGGACAGGAGGATGAGGGGCGGGGTGAGGGACGGGGGGTGAGGGCAGGGGGTGGGGACAGGGGTGAGGGGGCGGGGTGAGGGACGGAGGATGAGGAGGCGGGGTGAGGGACAGGGGTGAGGGGCGGGGGTGAGGGACGGAGGTGAGGGACAGGGGTGAGGGACGGAGGATGGGGGCGGGGTGAGGGACGGGTGGGGACGGAGGGTGGGGGCAGGGGGGTGAGGGACGGAGGTGAGGGGCGGGATGAGGGACGGAGGTGAGACGGAGGATGAGGGCGGGGTGAGACGGAGGTGAGGGACGGAGGTGAGGGCAGGGGTGAGGGACGGAGGGTGAGGGCAGGGATGAGGGACCGGAGGTGGGGGACGGAGGGTGAGGGACGGAGGGTGAGGGACGGAGGTGAGGGGCGGGGTGAGGGACGGAGGGTGAGTGACAGAGGGTGAGGGACGGAGGTGAGGGGCGGGGATGAGGGACGGAGGGTGAGGGACGGAGGTGAGGGCAGGGGGTGAGGGACGGAGGGTGGGGACGGAGGGTGAGGGACGGAGGGTGAGGCCAGGTGAGCAGGGGTGAGGCAGGGTGAGGGCAGGTGTGAGGACAGAGGGTGAGGGACGGAGCGGATGAGGCAGGGGTGAGGGACGGGGGTGAGGGGCAGGGGGACGGAGGGTGAGGAGAGGTCAGGGACGGAGGATGTGGCGTATTTGCAAAATGTTTTAAAGTCACTTAACACAGGAGGTTTTAGTTAACTGAAGGGGAGGTAGGTGGTGATAAGTAATTGTAAGTTATCAACTCACTTAACATGGAGGTATTTTGTAAGTGTGAGGAAGGGAAGATGAGGTTAGGGCGGGGGGGGAGGGAAGGAGGTGTATTGAAAAAGTCTACTAAAACTCACTTAACAATTTACTTTAGTGTGGTGACAGGAAGGACCTGGATGTTGGAAGAGCCTAAAGTAGTGCATGAGAAAAGGGAAAGGGACTAGAGAGGGGAATGGGGGATGGGAATGGAGGATGGGGATGAGAATAATGTAGGAATGGGGGATGTGAATGGAGAATAGAATGGAAATTGAGGATGGAAATGGGATGGAGGTGGAAATGTGGAATGGGAATGGAGGGTGGGAGTAGGGATGGAGGGTGGGATGGGAATGGAGGTGGGTAATGGGGAATGGGAATGGAGGATGGTAATGGGGAATGGGAATGGAGGATGAACAGGAGGTGAAAGGGTAAATTTGCCAAGAGGAGAGTGATGGGGAAGGTGAAGGATGTTGGAGAGGGAGCCATAAGGTAGGTCGTAGGAAGCGGGGTATCGTGGGGCAGGGGTGGGGGTCGTGGGGCAGGGGAGAAGGGGTCGTGGGCAGGAAAAGGGTCGTTGGGCAGGGATGGGGGTCGTGGGGCAGGGACAGGGGTCGTGGGGAAGAGTCGGGTCTGTCAAACGAATCATGTGTACAGTTTGGAAGACAGAGAGGCACTTGAGGTGGAGTAAGGGCAGGGAGGAGGGGTGGAGTGAGGGGCAGAAGGGGTAGATGGAGGGTAGACGAATGCGGGGAGACTGAGCATTGGAGATAGAAGGAGGTGAGTTGGTTAGTAGACGAGTGAGGAAAGAGGAGAGGAGGAGAGAGTGGAGGAGAGGAAGGATACAAAGGAAAGGAGAAGTGGATGAGGAGGTGTGGCGGCTGTGGAGGGTAGGGGAGGGGAGGAGAAATGGGGTAGAGGAGGAAGAAAGAATGAGGAGGGAGGGGGAGGTGACGGTGGCATAGAAAGGGTTGAGGTCTGGAGGAGGGGTCAGGAGGAGGAGGGGGTGATGTGTGACTCACTGATGGGAGATAATAAAGGCAGGCATCATAAGAGTAACAGGTCCACCTCACCCCACACCGCCCCGCCCGCCCGCCCGCCCACCGCCCCGCCCATCATCCTCTCCTGATACATCATGGCTCACGAAGCGACGCCGTCGCTGGAAGTAGCTCGTTCATGTGTGGCAGTAGTGACACACACACACACACACACACACACAGGGAATGATAATATGTTCATAGGTCACGAACCAGGCTGCAAAAGTCATCAACACTGCCCAACAACTACTACTACTACTACTACTACTACTACTACTACTTTCTTTCTTTTTTAAATGGCCTCCAGCCTCCCCTAATAGCCATACCTTCATGCCATTTTATTACCTTAAAATTAAATATCCTAATACATAAGTAGCTATCCTCGCTGTGCTGAGCTACTACTACTACTACTACTACTACTACTACTACTACTTCAACTAACTTTAGAGGATAGTAATAGTAAAGAACAATAATACTCCTGTAATAACAAAATAGTAATGGACTCCAGCCTCTTCTTCCTCTCTGTTTACATCCTGCATCACTGTTTCTCCTTACTGACTGACTGACTGATTGCCTAACTGACAGAGAATTCGCGTCCTCCGCCAATCCCACCCAGTTACGAGGTGCTGGGGTGACGTACAACCAACCAGATTGCGTGCTTCCCTGTTGGACGCTGTTAACGCTTTCTGCACTAGGTTAGGTTAGGTTAGGTTAGGTTATGAGACTAGAGGAAGTTACGCGGCCTCATTAGTCGAGTCATTAATCAAGGGTTAAAGAAATGTTGATCAAGATCCCTAAATGTTATGCTAATTGGTTTGTGTTGTGACGCTTGAAAAACTTGAGGACAGAATGACGTCTCGTATCACACCCCTCTCCTCACTCCTCACGCCTCACTTCACACCCTCTCCTCACTCCTCACGCCTCACTTCCTCTCACTCCTCACGCCTCACTTCACATCCTCTCCTCACGCTTTACCTCCCTCCTCCCTCCCCTCCATACATTCCACTTCTACACAATCCTTCCTCATAACCCACCAACACGCTCCTACCAATACCTTGTCTAGCATAAACCAACACATTCTCTCTCTCTCTCTCTTCCACAATTCAATCACCCTATCTCTTCCGCTCTCACACCACAACCCCACACCATCCCATCCATCCAGCACCACCCCATCCCAGCATCACCCCATCCCAGCACCACTCCTCCCAGCACCTCCTCCGTTCCCATATTCATTGCCCGTACCACCGATTCCCACACCCCCATCCAAGCACCCCCACCCCTTTACCCCTCACCACCACCCCCACCAGCATTTAGCGGACACCTCCCTCCAGTGGTGATAGGTCGAGCCACTACTCTGACTCATCTGATAGAGCGCCTCTCCTGCTGGTGATCTATGTCGATGGTGGATATGTTGTTCCCCGTTAGCCTCCACACTTGTCGCGGGAGGGGTGACTTGACGGAGAGGGAGAGGGCAGGGGGTGGTGGGGTGGGGTGAGAGGAGGGAGGAGGGGCGTGCATCACCAAGTCAAGAGAGAGAGAGAAGTGACTGAGGAGGAGGAGGGAGAGGAGGAGGAGAATACCATACTATATAGTTATAAGGTGGGAGATAACATGTACTGGTGGGGTCAGAGTGTCAGCTGGTGGAGTCAGTCGACGAAGGTGTACAATAGTTGTTTACCTCTGTTCCGTGGGGCGCGTCAGCTGGCCACATCACCTGTAAACATAAACACGTGCGTTGTGTGACGTCACTACCGCCCCCTCAATATAAAGATAACCCTCTCAGCGGCTCAGCCAATCAGAAAATTGAAGATACGCCAACTAGCCCCCAGGTGCTAGTTAGTCACTTACTTTTGCTCCGCCACCACTGGTTGGGTGATGATACACGTCATCAGCGCACGTGTTTACAAACGTTGATTGATGACGTCACAGTCCATTCTGATTGGGAAAAAAATAATGGTTAGGAAAAAACTTTACGCCTTTATGTTCCCTGGAAAATAAATGTTAATTATCCTCGTGGTGAAAGAACCTGTGGATTAATTACTTATTTATATAAACAATTCTGAGGAAACAAATAAAAACAAGATGTATATTTGGATCACCTGTAGATGAACCTTACCTCACCTGATGATTAAACTCCCCGAACGCAAGCCTAACCTAACCTAACCCCACCCAGGTAGCGTTGGGGGGTTTAATTAATCATCAGAGGAAATAAGCAGGAAGGGTGGGTACTAATCTTCAGGTGATCAGTACCTTCTTTGTGTTTGCGTTCTTCCAACCACACAACTCCTAATCCACGAACGACCCGGATTCAAAACAATAACAATCACCGTTCGTATGAGAGGTCAAGGCATACACACAACTTCCCACCCTGTCGATACACCCCATGTCCGACGAGGGACTTCCCCGGAATCTCTAGACTTACGTAAGCTTAAGTGGATGACTTTGGTGTGGAGGAGAGGGTGGGGAGCTGGGGGAGAAATTGGGTCATTCTGGGGGAGAAATTTGGTGATCCTGGGGAGAAATCATATGATCTTGGGGAGAAATTAGGTGACGCCTGGGGAAGATGACGTGTGTTGACCACTTTGGGAGCCTTGGTGAGATGAGTGGGCGTCCCTCACTTGTGATGACCGCTCGCTAGGGGGCCAATAACCTGGGAGAGAAGGAGGGGGGAGGTAGAGAAGGAGGAGGGGGAAGGTAAGGGGGATAAGAGGAGGGGTGGGGAGGTAAAAAAAAAAGAGGGGGGAGGTAGAGAAAGAGGGGGAGGTAGAGAAGGGGGGGAGGGAGGTGAAAAGAGCGGGGGTATAGAAGGAAGGAGGGAGGTAGAGAAGGAGGGCAGAAGAGAAGGAAGAAGAACGGGAGAGAGAGAGAGAGATATCCACCCTACTTTCATCTCAGTATTGCCACTACACTAATACACCTGAACGTTCACCTGCCACTCACCTCCAGACTAATCCTAAGTAATCCTAACACAAATTAAATCCCCAAAATGAATCCATAAACGAGATTAATCCCTCTTATGAGAATTTTCCAGGTAAGTTAATCCCATTGAGTACGTATGGATTAATCTCCCTTCTCCCCCTCCTGAGTACAGTATTATCGTATTCAAGGGAGTTAATTCATTGTACTCTGGGATTAAGATATCATAAAGGGTTCATAAAATAGTACATTAAATGGCTCCCAATATATGATCATGTATTAGAAACCAAACCTAACCTAAGCAAACCTAACCACCCTATCGCTAACTAAACCAAACCTAACCTAAGCAAACCTAACCACCCTATCGCTCACTAAACCAAACCTAACCTAAGCTAACCTAACCTAACCTAACCAAACCAAACCTAACCTAACTAATTAAAAACCATTGGTCTCATACGTCACCGTTAACTACGTAGATTAGAAAACGAATAACCACGTTTTCTCTTCCTGTCAGGTTTGAGGGAGGAGGAGGAAGAAGGGGGTGGAGAAGGGAGGATGGAGAGAGAGGAGGTGGAGGAGGAGGTGGAGGAGGGAGGTGGAGGAGGAGGTGGAGGGGAGAGGAGGAGGAGGAGGAGGAGGAGGAGGAGGAGGAGGAGGAGGAGGAGGAGGAGGAGGAGGAGGTTCGGTCTAGAATAGCCTCAAGTTCGACCAATTCACCCAAGGGAAATTTCCTCTTCCTCCTCCTCCCACGGCATATTAATTAGCCTCTTTAATTCTGTCGTCAAAAACACACACACACACACACACTGGACTGGAAGGCCCATGTAAACAACACAATCAAGGCAGCCTCGTACCGACTCTACATGCTACAACGACTCAGGTCACTTGGGGCACCCACGCCAGAGCTGAGAACTATCTACAACACCTTTATTCTCCCTAAATTAACGTATGCGTCACCAGCCTGGTCGTCTTCTCTCAACTCCACCCAACAACGTTAGCTAGAGAAGGTACAGAAAGCCTGCAAATTATGCTCGGCGCAGACTACTCCGGCTACAACAACGCTCTCTCCACCCTGGAAATGCCATCCCCAGTGATCTCGCCAAGGTTTGGCAGTGGATAAGTGCATCATCCTTGTCATCGCCACCTACTGCCGAAGTCCCCCACCCACCTAGCGCAGTCAGCCACTACAACAAATTCAGCCCATAAGAGTGCACCGATAGATATAAGAACAGCACCATCCCATCTATTGTTAAAATAATAAACAGCTCTGATTTATGGACTGTACAGCCCTGTAAATGTACTGAACGTATATCATTATGTCTAAATCACATATAAGTTTGTATATTTTACACCACAACTCTATTAATAAACCGTTTTATTATTATTATTATTATTATTATTATTATTATTATTATTATTACACACACACACACACACACACACACACACACACACACACACACACACACACGTCAACACTACCCACCGGTCAGGTCCATCCTTCTGAATGACTACATCTCCCTTTCTCCATCATTTCTCCACCATCTCCCTCTCTCCACCATATCCCTCTCTCCACCATCTCCCTCTTTCCACCATCTCCTCTCTTCACCATCTCCTCTCTCACCATATCCTCTCTCCACCATCTCCCTCTCTCCACCATATCCCTCTCTCCACCATCTCCCTCTCTCCACCTATTTCCCTCTCTCCACCACCACCCACCTCCCTCCCTTCTTCCCTCCCTCCAGACCACAGTAATCTACCCCCTACAGAGAGGGCGTGGGAGAGGGAAAACGTGAGGAAGGTATACCTGTGTGTGTGTGTGTGTGTGTGTGTGTGTGTGTGTGTGTGTGTGTAGTTGGAAGAAGGGAGGGGTAGAAAAGAGTCATCTACCTTCTCACGGAGGAAGGAAAAGGAGGAACGGGAGAGGAGAGGGGAGAAGAGGGAAAAAGGAGAAGAGGAAAATAATGGGGAAAATGGGTAAAAGGGAGGAAGAAGATGGAAAAGTAGAAGAAAGGAACAAATGAGGGAGGGCAGGAAAGGAAGAGGACGGAATGGGGAAAGGGAGAAAGGAGGGGGAAGGAGTGAGAAGGGGAAGGACTCGTTTGTCTGGGTGAGTGTAGGGATGAGAGTCCTTTACCTCCACGTGTGAGAGCAGGGAGAGGCCTTTGTTGATGCTCACAGGGGCGAAGGTGGAGAGAGAGAGAGAGAGAGAGTCATGTAAATATAAGTAGATCCCAAGTAGCGGGCTAGTCTATCTATCTATCTATCTATCTATTTATCTATCTATCTATCCATCCATCTATCTAATTAGGTAAAATCTCTCTCTCTCTCTCTCTCTCTCTCTCTCTCTCTCTCTCTCTCTCTCTCTCTCCTGTGTGTTAACTGTATCCGGACAGACTTACTGTAAGCATCCCGACAAACCTAAACACCGACTCATAAAACGTTTGATGAGTGTTCGGGAACTGTTGTCGGGATTCGAAGGCGATGTGTGTGTACCGGATTGTGTCGGCCTCAAGCAAGTGTGCAAGACTCGTGGATCTGTAGTCGGTTTGTCAGGGTCTTAGAAATCGGATTGTCGGGGTCTTAGAAATCGGATTGTCGGGGTCTTAGAAGTCGGATTGTCAGGGTCTTAGAAGTCGGATTGTCGGGGTCTTACAAGTCGGATTCTTTGGAGTCTTAGAAGTCGGAGTCTTTGGAGTGTAGTCGGATTGTCACTTGATGTAGGGTCAGACTGTCAGGGTTTAGAAGATAAAATTCTTAGGTTCGATTAGATTAAATTGAATTAGATTTGGTTAGGTTAGGTTAGGTTAGGTTAGGTTAGGTTAGGTTAGGTTAGGTTGACAAGTAAGGGAACCAGTTAATACATGACAAAAGACAAAATATAATACTTAATAAATAACATAAGGAGACGAAGCTCTATATTACTAAGGCTCTTGAAGTCACTCAACTATATAATACTTCATAATGGTGGAGTTGTTGATATTGTTTATCTAGCCAGAAAATAAAAGAAAGTGGATAACAATAACAATGGGTGAGACAGTACCATACATACACTCGTCTCTTTTACCCACAAGAGACAGAGACAGAGAGACAGAGAGACAGAGAGAAATTACCATGTGGACGTCTCTTGAACCTGAACCTTGGAACTACATTATTCAGGGAGAGCTGGTCGGGTTCACAGCATCCATGTAAACCCAAGACGAACCCATGCACAGTGTCCCATACCTTACCCTCTACTGTGTGTGTGTGTGTGTGTGTGTGTGTGTTTGAACTATCATCTTAGGAGGCTTTAATAACTTCTTCTATTTCGACTACGTATCGTAATAGAACTTTATGGCGACGAGAGGGGCCAGTGTGTAACCTTCCCTAACCTAACCTAACCAAACCTGACAATAACACACAAAATATTTCAACCCCACAAGAGAACCTCAAAGAAGACATTAAGGGGCCCAGACAACCTCATGGGCTCCAGAACCCACAGGGGCTCCCCAAGAACAGCGTCACAAAGAGCTCCAGGGGTCCCTCGGGTCTTCACACAACTTCACAAAGAGCACATCACAGGCGGGGTTCGAGCGACCTTCAAAGCCAAGAAGGCGATTCAGAAAATTAATTGCTCTCTTTGAGTATATACCCTGTGTCTTGCCTGTCGCCTAGGTATAGATTCAATTACCCGACGGAGGAAGAATGGGTGGAACTGTGTCGCTGTCAATGTATCACACGCCCCAGTACTGAAGAGGTCTTTGGGGAATAGTCTCCAAAGATTGTACGGGATCAAAGTCGGAGTTATATTTGAGGAATATTTAATGACCAGGAGAGGAATATTCAGCGACACAGGTATTTGGGGATATTGGTAAATATTAGAGAATATTACAGGAAGACTATTTGAAGATTATGAACATGTGATCAATTTCTAAACGTTATAATGTATGTATGTATGTATGTATGTATGTATGTATGTATAAAGTCACACATTCAGTTTTAATTAATGACGAACAGGTAAGTCATTTGACCTTTAATTAAACAACAGGTGACCAAGAGTTCGTCAAAGGAGGAGTTTAATTATACTTAAAAATAATCACCTCATCCTCCTTATCCTCCCACCCTCACCCTACTCACCCTTCTCTCCCCTCACTCACCCTCACCCTTCTTTCCCTCACCCCCCTCTCCTCCCTCTCCTCCCAACCCTCAAGTTTTTCTCCTACACCCTTCTCTCCCTCTCCATTCTCTCCCTCCACTTTCTCATCTTCTCACCCCCACCCTCCTCTCCTTCCTCACCCTCTTCTCCTCCCTCACCCTTTCCCTCACCCTCTCCCCCACCCTCTTCTCCTCCCTCACCCTTTCCTTCACCCTTCTCTCCCTCATCCTCACCTTTCTCTCCCTCCACCCTCACCCTTGTCTCCCCTCTCCTCACCCCTTCTCCACCCCTCACCCCTTCTCTCCTCCTCCCTCCTCTTCTCTCCTTCTCCTCACCCCTCCCACCCTCCTCTCCTCCCTCACCCTTTCCCTCACCCTTCTCTCCCTCACCCCTTCCATTCTCTCCCCTCCCCCTCTCTCCTCCTCTCCCTTCTCTCCCTCACCCCCTCACCCTTGTCTCCCTCTCCCTCACCCTTCCTCACCCTTACCCTTCTCTCCCTCTCCCTCTCCCCTCCCCTCCTCTCCTCCCTCCCCTCTCCCCCACCTCCCTCTCCTCCCCTCACCCTTCCTCTCCCTCACCCTCACCCCTGTCTCCCTCTCCCTCCACCTCCTCTCCTCCCCTCACCCCTCCTCTCCTCCCTCCCCTCCTCTCCTCCCTCACCCCTTTCCCTCACCCTTCTCTCCCCTCACCCCTCCCCTCCTCTCCCTCTCCCCCACCCTCCTCTCCTCCCCTCACCCCTTTCCCTCACCCTTCTCTCCCTCTCCTCCCCTTCTCTCTCCTCACCCCCACCCCTTGTCTCCCTCTCCCTCACCCTTCTCTCCCTCTCCCCTCCCTTGTCTCCTCTCCTCACCCTTCCCTCCCTCACCCCCTCACCCCTTGTCTCCCTCTCCCTCACCTTCTCTCCCTCTCCCCCTCACCCTTGTCTCCCTCTCCCCTCATCCTTCTCTTCCTCCCCCCTCACCCTCTCTCCCCTCTCCCTCACCCTTCCCTCACCCTCCTTCTCTCCCTCCCCTCACCCTTGTCTCCCTCTCCCTCCCCTTCCTCACCCCTCACCCTTCTCTCCCCTCACCCTCACCCTTCTCTCCCTCTTCCCCTCCACCCTTCCTACCCTCACCCTTCTCTCCCCTCCCCCTTGTCTCCCTCTCCTCCTCTCCTCACCCTCAACCTTCTCTCCCTCACCCCTCCCCTTCTCTCCCCTCCCTTCCTCCCCTCACCCTTCTCTCCCCTCACCCCTCACCCTTGTCTTCCCTCTCCCTCACCCTTGTCTCCCTTCCCCTCACCCTTACCCTTCTCCTCTCCCTCACCCCCTCCCTCTCCCCTCACCCCTTCTCCTCCTCCCTCCTCCTCTCCACCTCACCCTTCTCCCTCTCTCACCCTTCCTCTCCTCTCCCTCACCCTCCTCTCCCTCACCCTCACCCTCTCCT